AAATTGCATTTAGTAAGTAGCCAATGTGTTCTTCTAGACTATGTTCTATATACCAAATTTCATCGAGATCTGTTGAGCCATTCCGGAGATTCAAACATCCATCTATCTAAACTTTCGCATATAAAATATTATTAATATGATACTATCAATACTAAAACAAATCAATACCATCAATACCAAAAGCGTCAATAGGTTAAGGGTGCGGATTTCCGACCACGAGGCCGGGGGTTCGAATCCCGACATTGGACTATTGTCGTAAACCATATCCTAGCACAAGCATAGAGCTTAGTTGGAATGGTAAAAGAAATATTAATAAATTTACAAAGAAAATCTGCTAATATTTTAATAAAAAAAATAGAATAAAGAGGAAAGATTTGATTGATTGTTTGTTTGTATTGGATAGTCTGAGAAACTATAGAACCGAATTGTCACATTCTTTGACTGTTTCGAAGACATAGTATCCCCAGTTGATATTTCACGCGAACGAAGTCGCGGGTAACTGCTAGTGTCATATAATTTCAAAGGGAATTAATGGAGAATAAATTGTTCCTCCAGGTATATCTCGCATTACTGCCTTATACAACAACTACCATGGAGCCATGACACTCCTCCGACACGTACCAGAGAGCAGCGAGCCTCGTATACTCTGCTTCGGCAAGGAGTGGTACCGCTCACCTTCCAGCTGGCATCTGCCACAGCATCACGGCGTGCGCTTCATCACCACACACTTCGATGGTCAATTACCTGCACCATACCAGGAAACTAGCGATGGTGAGGCTAACCTTGGGTTTTTATTGCAGAAAAATTATAGTAAAACATATATTTATCTTCTTTTAAGAGTTTAAGGTTGGGTTTTTATTTTGTTGTTTTGGTAGTGGGCAATAAGGAAAATGGGTATCGAAGGGCTAAAAAGCGATCATCAATATATAATTTTCATAGCTGTCGGCCGCGACTCCTTCCGCGTGGAATTTTAAAAAATCTTAGTAGTCTATGTGTTCTTCCAGACTATGTTTCTTTGCCACTTATTTGCCACTTACTACATCTTTGCGAAATTTCATAGAGATCCATTCAGCGGTTCTGGAGGTACCTTTAAATAAACATCCATACATCTATCCATTCATCCAAACATTGGCATCTATAATATTAGTAAGATATATAAAATTCTCATGTCAATATGTTTGTGACAACACTCCTGTGAAACGGCTTGACATTTTTATAACATTTTATATGCATTTTCAGTGAGTCTCAGAATCGGCTACTATTTTTTAAGCCTGTACGGAGTCGCGGGCGACAGCTAGTTAACAATAAAATTATAGTATGCAGATGTATACAAGATTCTGAAACTAATTTTAATATATAATTTTCAGGTACTCGCATCATACATCCGTACTTCAATGACCAAAATAAAGGTGACAATCGAACCTACGTACATGTGTCAGAATGCCACTACCTCGTGGACTCCGACATCGGCGCACCCTCAACACTCGAACCTGCGTACCACAAGCAGACCAACACATGGGACATCATCGCCACTGTACCATTACTGGACTCCAGCAAATCTCATCCATTGTTCAGATCGTTTTATATTCCTGTTTTGTCGTATAAAAATGTCGTTTACGCAAATTTATATCTCTTGAGGAACAAATTGTTGAACAATTAAGCTCATTTTCCTTTGTACTTGTACTGGAAAACACCAACCGTTTATTAGTTTTAGTAAATTTATGAAAATAATAATTCAATAATAAGAAAACCTTATTTAATTACAAAGCAAATAGAATGATTGCTTTTATAGGAAAACAGTTTATATTTGCACAAAAAAAAATTTTTTTTTTCGTTATTTTTAATAAATCTGAAATTTTATTGAACATCTTTTTAATTGCATATTAAAAACAATTGTTTTTTTTTAGTTTGTTCTTTTAAAAATATATTTTTCTCTGATTTATTTACGTTCCTTTTTTCCCAATATTTATAAAATGCAACCATATCATATCGTTAAAATATTGTTATAAATAATAATATTATATTACAATCATAAGATTAAATATTAATCAAAAACTAAATAACAGAAAAAAAGTTCAAAAATTGTTTTTATTTTAATAATGTTTAAAATGTCTTGCAAATATGCGTTAGATTTTTATTTTAATTCTAGTCATAGATTCCTCTTATAGTAAGTTATTCACAATTCATTTAACGTAAAAAGCACTGAAGTGTAAACGAATTAGATGTTAAAGAGGGGAAAAAAATAATAGCAAATTTTAAGCTAATTTTAAAGTTAAGGCAAATAGATAAAGCACTAAACCAAAGTAGTAGATGCTAGTTTGCTCCGAACTAGCTGTTGTCTTTTGATACTAATATGTCGATGTTGCCGTCTCGCTCGCACTTACATAACTTATGAGACGACGTAGTGATGCGCTTTGATACTATCGATATTTTTTTAATTCCGTATTTGTTTTCCATTGCATTAAAGTTTATAAATAAATTAAAAATCACATAAATAATGCTATTAATTGCAATAATTAAATCGGTTGTAATAATAGTACAATCGTTAGTTATATGGTCACGTGAATTAATTATCAGAACGTTTTGCATTTTTATATTAATCATGTGTGTAACTTATTTAATTGTATTTATTTGTAATAAATATTTTTTTCATTAATCGTTTTTTATTACCCTGTCCTATGATATTAATTAAATTACGTAATGTAAGGAAAACCTTAATATAGCTGGGTCTTCTACTGTTAAGATCGTATCCCACTTACCGTGGGTTTCTGAGGCCATTATCCCCGTTTAAAACATATTGTTATTTCTGTTTGGTCAAAGATTCTGGGTTTATGTTTTATACAAAGATTTTGGTATCAGAAAATAATGGTTATTATTCACATTTAAGAAGCCTACATGTTTTCGGGAAAAAATCGAGCCGGCTAAGCTAATAAAGCATTTCTTTAGTTATGTTAGGATTTTAGTATAGGTTACACATGTAATTAGTTTTGTAGTGTTAGTTATAATTTTTTATTATAAATTAAGATTAATTTGTTCATTTTTATTTTTTAAATTATTCGTGCAAAATAACAGGATGAGAGAAATAGTTCATATTCAAGTCGGGAGATGCGGTAATCAGATTGGATCTAAGGTATGCAATTTATAATGATAACTGTTCCGAACCAAAAAGTAATTTATAATTGATTTTTGAATAAATTCATGAAATGTTATAGTTTTGGGAGGTGATTTCGGACGAGCACGGTATCGACCCGGCGGGCTGCTACACAGGAGACTCGGAGCTGCAGTTGGAGCGTGTCAACGTTTACTATACAGAGGCCGCCGCTTGCAAGTACGTGCCGCGCGCCGTGCTCGTTGACCTCGAGCCCGGCACAATGGATTGCATTCTCGCCGGCACCTACGGAGCTCTCTTCCGCCCCGATAACATCGTCTACGGCATGACCGGTGCCGGTAACAACTGGGCCAAGGGACACTTCACGGAAGGCGCGGAATTGCTTGAACCGGCACTGGACGTCGTGAGGAAGGAAGCTGAGGGCTGCGACTGCCTCCAAGGTTTTCAACTCGTCCACTCCATAGGCGGCGGCACCGGATCCGGCCTGGGGACCCTGCTTCTATCCAATTTAAGAGAGGAATATCCCGACAGAATCGTGATGACGTTCTCCGTGGTACCGAGTCCCAAAGTATCGGACACTGTTGTCGAGCCGTACAACGCTACGCTATCCCTTAATCAGCTTATAGAGAATACGGACCAGTCGTTTTGCATAGACAACGAGGCGCTGTATGATATCTGCTTCCGCACGCTAAAGCTGCCGATGCCAACGTACGGTGACTTGAACCACCTAGTCTCGATGATGATGTCGGGCGTGACGACTTGCCTACGGTTTCCGGGCCAGCTGAACGCGGATCTGCGTAAGCTGGCTGTCAACATGGTGCCTTTCCCACGGCTACACTTTTTCATGCCGGGCTTTGCGCCGCTGACGTCACGGGGAAGTCAGCAGTACCGCGCGCTGAGCGTGCCCGAGCTCACACAGCAGATGTTCGATGCCAAGAACATGATGGCGGCATGCGACCCGCGCCATGGCCGCTATTTAACCGTGGCTGCCATCTTCCGCGGTCGAATGTCCATGAAGGAGGTGGACGAGCAAATGCTAAACGTACAAACGAAAAATAAAGACTACTTCGTCGGTTGGATACCTAACAACGTGAAAACTGCCGTCTGCGACATTCCACCGCGTGGCCTCAAGATGTCGGGCACATTCATTGGCAATACGACCGCCATCCAGGAGCTATTCAAGCGCATCTCGGAGCAATTCGCTGTGATGTTTAGGCGGAAAGCATTCGTGCATTGGTACACGGGTGAAGGCATGGACGAGAGCGACTTCGCCGAGGCAGACAACAACATGAGTGACCTGATATCAGAGTACCAGCAGTATCAGGACGCCACTATAAATGATCAGGAGTTTGAAGAAGAAGAAACCACACAAAACGATGATAGTGATGAATAAATTTCAAACATTTGTTTAACTTATTTAATAAATTATAAGTCATGAGAGTCTTGTTTTGTTCTGGTAAATAACTTCAATGTCTGATATTTAATACAAACGCCTATTTATCATCTAAAGTAGTCTATTTTTTATTACAATAATCTAGTGGTAGGAAATCTCTACAAACATGACAAAGTATACCATGTTATACCAAATTTACAAAATTATTGTGTAATATGTTTAGAATAATAATTCAGAGATTTTATTAACTTTTTATTGTACACAACGATTATACAAATAGGTTACGCCTAACACTAAACACCGCACAAAACATTTAACATAAAGTGCATAAAACATGGACAAGACATTTACGTGGAATGCACAAAACATTGGACAAGACAAACAATTATTCTTCAACTTCTTCGTCGAACTCGCCTTCGTCGTCAGCCGTCGCGTCCTGGTACTGCTGGTACTCGGAGACTAGGTCGTTCATGTTGCTCTCCGCTTCTGTGAACTCCATCTCGTCCATACCCTCTCCTGTGTACCAGTGTAAGAAAGCTTTCCTTCTGAACATGGCCGTGAACTGTTCTGATATTCTCTTGAACAATTCCTGTATAGCCGTCGTATTGCCGATAAATGTCGCAGACATTTTCAAGCCCCGAGGTGGTATGTCACAAACGGCGGTCTTGACGTTGTTCGGTATCCATTCGACGAAGTAGCTGCTGTTTTTATTTTGTATGTTGAGCATCTGCTCGTCCACTTCCTTCATGGACATGCGGCCGCGGAAGACGGCAGCCACGGTGAGATAGCGGCCGCGGCGCGGATCGCACGCCGCCATCATGTTCTTGGAGTCGAACATCTGTTGCGTAAGCTCGGGCACACTCAAGGCGCGATACTGCTGGCTACCGCGCGATGTCAGCGGCGCGAAGCCCGGCATGAAGAAGTGCAGCCGCGGGAACGGCACCATATTGACGGCCAGCTTGCGCAGGTCCGCATTCAGCTGGCCCGGAAACCGTAAGCAAGTCGTCACGCCAGACATGGTCGCAGACACCAGATGGTTTAAATCGCCATACGTCGGAGTAGTTAGCTTAAGCGTTCGGAAACAGATGTCGTACAGCGCCTCGTTGTCTATGCAGAAAGTCTCATCTGTGTTCTCTACAAGCTGGTGAACAGACAGCGTGGCGTTGTACGGCTCCACCACTGTGTCTGATACCTTCGGGCTGGGTACCACCGAGAACGTGTTCATTATGCGATCTGGATACTCTTCTCTTATCTTCGATATCAGCAGCGTGCCCATCCCCGAGCCCGTGCCTCCACCCAGCGAGTGAGTCAGCTGGAACCCCTGAAGGCAGTCGCAGCCCTCCGCCTCCTTACGCACCACGTCGAGCACGGAGTCTACTAGCTCCGCCCCCTCGGTGTAGTGACCCTTGGCCCAATTGTTACCGGCTCCGGATTGTCCGAATACGAAGTTATCCGGCCGAAAGATTTGCCCGAAGGGTCCGGAGCGCACGGAGTCCATGGTGCCGGGCTCCAGATCAACCAGCACGGCACGCGGTACGTACTTGCCGCCAGTCGCCTCATTGTAATACACGTTGATACGCTCTAGCTGCAGATCAGAGTCTCCCTGGTACGCGCCCGTGGGGTCGATGCCGTGCTCGTCAGAGATTACCTCCCAAAACTAAAAAAGAAAGATATTTTCAGTTACCAAGTGGTATCAAGTTGTGGATTATAGATTACATTGGTACATGTTGTCCCGTCTGTTTGTTGAATGATTTTGTAACGTCCACTATACACTTACTTTAGCGCCGATTTGATTTCCGCATTGTCCAGCCTGGATATGGACGATTTCCCTCATCTTGATACTTTTACTAGAAATTTTGTACCTAAAATTAAGTTTGGTAAAATTTTACCTTCCTAAAATAACCATATAAAAATATTAAAGTAAAAAAAAAATGTAACAATCAAAATACGTTCATTCTACACGAAATTTTAACAAATAATGAGATGACAATGTTCTTTTTTCGGCCGCAGAGAAAAAGCAATTCGAATTTCAATTAATATTTTAAGCAATTAGTACCGGCCAGTAACACGCAAAGTGCCTTAATATCTGATCTTTTTCAATGACATAAAAAAAACTTTTATACATACACTAGCAGTTGACTGCAACTTCATCCGCGCGAAATTAAAAAAAAATCTCGTAGGAAACATAGCTTATGTAACCCAGGTATAGTGTATGTATCTTGCCAACAAGAAAAGAATTTTTCAAATAGTTTCGGAGCTTATACAGTGCAAATAAACAGTCAAATCATTATGTTTTATAATGTTAGTAGAGACTGCACTCACAGCCGTAACCCAGTGGAGTACTTATAAATTATATATTCTCCGCTATCCTGGCACACTTTTGTCCCTTTTCCAACATCCATACATCGTTATAAACGGTCGTCGGTGACGCGTACCCCACCTATATTTCGAATATCGCTAATTTGATCGATAAACGTAGGGACAACTTTTCAAGAAATCCTCGGAAAACACTGTGCTTTTTGGAAATGCATACTTTTTCCAACAAAAAGGTCGACTATAAAAAAATAAATGTAAAAATTCTAGAACAATTCTATTCTTGAAATTCGAAACTTCAATGAAACGAAAATGATTCGGACAGCACATTCGTCTGAAATCCGGCGTAAGATGCGTACGGTGTGAAGTTGTGCTTAATTTTTTTATATTTTTTTTTATTAGTCTTAAGTTAATGTTAAGCATCAACAAGATAAATATATTTTGACCAATTTTTTCAAGAAATTGACAAGTATCTGATTCTAACAGCGAGTAAATTATCAAGATGAGGGAAATCATCAATCTTCAAATTGGAGCTTGCGGGAACCAGATCGGAGGAAAGGTATGTTCTGACCAATTCCGAATTTTGTAATCAATGCAGGCAAATTGTATAGAACTACGATTTAAAATTAATATTTAGACAGTTGACTTCGACTTACATTGGTTACAATTAAGAATAAGTGGTAGTAGTCTTTTTATTAAAGTTGATCTGTTTTTCGGCAGTTCTGGGAGGTTATCTCTGACGAGCACGGTATCGACCCGTGCGGCGTTTACCACGGAGACTCTGATCTGCAGCTGGAGCGTATCAACGTGTACTACAATGAAGCCTCTGGCGGCAAATACGTGCCGCGCACTGTACTCATCGACCTGAAACCTGCCACCATGGACACGGTGCGCTCCGGGCCCTTCGGCTGCCTGTACCGCCCCGATAACTTCGTGTACGGCCAGAACGGCGCCGCAAACAACTGGGCGCGCGGCTACTACACCGAGGGGGTGGAGATTCTTGAGTCTGCCTTGGACGTCATCCGGCGCGAGGCGGAGAGCTGCGACTGCCTGCAGGGTTTCCAGATGCAGCAGTCGCTGGGTGGCGGTACGGGCTCCGGTCTCGGCACGCTACTCATCAACCGCATCCGCGAAGAGTACCCTGACCGGATCGTGCTCACTTTCTCAGTGTTCCCCAGCGCCAGGGTGTCAGACTGTGTCGTGGAGCCCTACAACACAACGCTGGCGGTCAACCAACTGGTCGAGAATACCGACCACACGTTCTGTTTGGACAACGAGGCGCTCTACGATATCTGCTTCAGAACTTTGAAACTGACCACGCCGACGTACGGCGATCTAAATCATTTGATCTGTGCGACGATGTCCGGCATTACGACGTGCCTACGTTTTCCCGGACAGTTAAACGCGGATCTACGTAAACTGGCCGTGAATATGGTCCCCTTCCCGCGCCTCCATTTCTACACGCCCGGGTTCGCACCACTTACTTCCCGCGGCGCCCAGCAGTACAGGGCCCTAACCGTCCCTGAACTGACGCTGCAGATGTTCGACGCGAAGAACATGATGGTGGCGTGCGACCCTCGGCACGGGAGGTATCTAACCGTGGCGACTATTTTCAGAGGTAGAATGTCTATGAAAGAAGTAGACGAGCAGTTGGTTAATATTCAGAACAAAAATAGCACGTATTTCGTCGAATGGATTCCGAATAATGTGAAGATAGCGGTGTGCGATATTCCGCCCCGAGGGTTGAAGATGGCGTCGACATTCATAGGGAACACGACTGCGATTCAGAGCATATTCAAGAGGATAGGCGAGCAGTTCGTGGCGATGTTCAGGAGGAAAGCGTTCCTGCACTGGTATACGGGTGAAGGTATGGACGAGATGGAGTTCACGGAGGCGGAGAGCAACATGAACGATCTGATCTCTGAGTATCAGCAGTACCAGGACGCTACGGCCGACGACGAGGGGGAGTTCGACGAGGAGGCGGCGGACGAAGGAATGGAGGAAGAGTGACTAGTTTGGTGTTTGCATTTGTGTACGTCCATTGTTTGTGTAATAAATATAATTGCCTATAACTTGTTTTTTGATTCATTCATTCGTTATTCATTTCATTATTCCAAGTTACCTACATATGGAGAACTAAATTTGAGCCCCAAATAAGCCACCACCGCCGCTTTCTTTGATAGGTTCCGAGCACCTCAAGGAAATATGAACTGACTACGACATAAATTGAAAAATTTAATGAACTGAAATTCATGAAATGTAAAATATTTGTAAATTTTGAATGTTATGTAACTTCACTGAAAAGCGATGTAAGATTAATGCAGCGCCATCTGTTATAAAGATAAGTTAGAAGCGCAAACTGCAGAAGATTTCCAGCAACGCACACGTCAATAGTTCGCGCACATTGAACTAGATGTCGTGGCACCACTTCAGGCTTGTTTTGTTTTCAGTGGCTGTATTGTCAGAGTGGTCATGGCGCTCGCTCGAAATGTCAGTGAGGTAGCGACTCGTTATAAAATAAAGAAGTATTAGTTAGTTCTGTATGATGTAGCCGTGTTTGATGTGTGCCGAGTGCGGAGTGCGTAGCGAGCGAGCGGCCGCGGTGCGATGGCGGCCCAGGGCAATGCGGCCGGCGGCGGCGGTGGGCGGGCGCGCGCGGGCCCTGAGGACACCAGCACTGACAGCGACAACGACACGGAGAGGAAGGCGCTGCTTCGCCGCATATCGACCAGCAAGTGCGTCGGCAGATTGGTGAGTACGCGACCTATAGCTGTTGTTGGCCACTCATTTATCCTTGTCAAAATCCCCTCGAAATGGGTGTGACGCGTCCGTAGTGCGGGGTGGCGGGGAGCGCGCCATGTGCCTGTCGCCCGGCCGTCCTCAGTAAATGAACATTTTTTAAGGAAATTTTTATTTACTGACGGCGATTATGTACCGAAGTAACGAGGTGTGGAATCTGACCTATTTAATTGTAAATAAAAGCTTAGGGAGAAAGCAATCCGAGCGTGCGGTGTCCACAATTTGCGCGGGATTAGTCGGTGGTGATTGACCTACAGATGCGTGTTATTTGTTTTGATTTTGATGTAAACAATTACACGCAAATAAACTATCTTACTATCATTTTTCGGTATAAATAATACCATATTTATTTAACAAGTGTCGCTTTGTGTGTTTAAGTCATTCCAATCAGAATGCTAATATAATTTCGCGCTAAGAACTTGTGCCAACTTTGTGAGAAATACAATTAGGAATCGGTTCGACTGTGGACGTGTTTACACAGAGTTTGATAGGATTCGAGCAGATTTGTCAGATTGAATAATAGATTATGTTTACATGCGTACGTGAGAACACCTTATCAAGAGTAAGTTATTTGTACGTTTTATTTAAAAAATAATAAATTATGTAAAGACTTCACAATAAAACTCGAATGCAGTAATGGAAAATATTTTCATTGCATTATGTATTCATAAAAATTCTGCTAAAACAACTTAAACTGTCTTTTAAACTACTTGCCTGATCGTTAAAGTTAATATAAAAACTAGGATTTTATTAACAAAAATGCAATATTTACGTCGCATAAATGGAGAATTTAAATTCAATTTGGAGCTTTTGGTAATTAAGTCCGAGTTGGATTGGCTCTTGCCTTTTTGGGTATGGGCAAAGCGCAGTCCAATTATTTTACGTTGGAATGTAAATTGACATAGGCAGAAAGAATTATGAGATTTTGTTTCTGTAAAGAACTGAACTATGTCATTCAAGGAGTTTAATTTTAAAAGCCATGTATATGACACGGTAACCCATTCGGTATGTTCCAAATGGCGGTAGATACTGATCGCAATACTTTGAGTGGCATTTATAAAGTCGCTGGCTTATTGCCAGTTTCATTTTGAAGTAAAATCTAAATATTTGGCCTTTGACCTTTGCTGTCCCCCTTGTCCCGTCCCGCGCCCCCGCGCTATCCCCCTACTTCTTATTGTGCTTCAGAGAATGCATTGTTGAAAGAATGGTCGAGGGACGACCGTCTTTTGATTTGATATTAAACATCCTAACAAGCATACCTACAGAATACTTTCTTAATTAGAACATGTAACAATGAAACTTTCTTATTATTTTATGAAAGAACACGTACACCATTGAAATAAGATAAATCGCTTCAAGGCACCAATATTCTGTATAAAATCTCATTAATTTCCCAAATTCTAAATTCATTTGAAAACAAAAGCACCTGTCGGTTAAATGAAAGTATTGGCCTGAATAAAATGATAAATAATTCAAAGGAATAAATTCTTTCTATGTCTGTTACGTTAGTATAATGTGAATTATTTAACGTTTTTATATGTAACGAGTTTCGATGATCGAGTATGGAATTGCTTGTAATAACGCGATCCATCTTCGTCTTCAGGGCGATGTGAACGTATTTACCGTTTATCGTAAATATTTCTTATATAAACAGCATTGAACCTTACGTATGTTGTAAAATTTATCACGAAATATATAAGAATATTTTCATCTAAGATACTGAGGCAAAGGCTTCTTTGACATCGACGTCGAATATGGTCAGGTGAGGTCAACCTGTCGGCCGCAACGCTTAGTTCAGTCAATAATATCAAAGAAAAAATATCTAAAATGTAACGTAGCAGAAGATGCAAATATAAATTGCTACATATTTACTAAAAATAATTTTTAGTTAAAATTTTTCTTTTTAATAAAAAAAAATATATTACATAATTGTCCTTTAAAGTATGAACTTTTTAGTATTTTGAGAAGTTTGTTTTTAGTAGATCGCACGGTTTCTTCAATGAATAGTTGATCTCTGATGTAATCAGGTTGGTAACCCCTGGCAGAGACGGTCATCGCAAAAGTATTGGAAGTAGAAAAAATCTATATTGAAAAGTAACGGAACTTCAGAAGTCGGGTGACATATATATTTTTTAATGAAAACCGTAAGCAAGTAGGTCGATATTTATAGAATCCTTAACCGAATACAAAAATACATGGTCGCATTTTTAACAGAAAAAACTGTGAATAAATAAATTAATAGCCTAAGATGAGTAGACATAAGAAAAGGAAGTATTAACAAAAGGTAAAATTCGAGAAATTTTAAGTAAAAATCAAGGTTTACGTGAAAAACTAACATATAAAGGTTTAAAAAACTAGATGTAGAGGCTTTTGCTTGTCAACAAACTAGGCTTCTCTTCTACACGACCTAACAAATCAAGCGCTGAGTACTATATTCATGCATTCAATTCTGACATTCCCACATTTTTTATCTCGAAAAACTCTTTTAAAATTTTACTGAATTCTATGAACTCGCAGCTAATATATTTCTTTTCTATCTTGTGAACGCTCAATATTATTTTCAGCCATCGTTACTCCGGATCTCCCGTGGTTCTTAAGATGCCTATCTAGAGCACTGGTTTAATAGATGCAATAATTCAACGTGAGGAAACATTTTTGACATTATCAGATATCAAATCGATCAAAGAGCATGCGACATATATTGTTATCATATCGATTGCCCAAGTTTTTTCTTTCTACGCGAGATATAAAATGAGTCATTGTATATACATAAAGTATATAACACTTTACTAAATGTAAATACACAACAAAACTTGATATTTATTTATCTTTGTTATTGTATATTATTTTAAAATAGCTCAAATTTTGAATTTTATAACGAATATTTACGGTACGTTTATAAGCAATTTTAGCACCTGCATAAAACATTGGAATAAAATCGATACAGTATTTGGCGCGGTGATTGAGAAACGCCGGAGTTCCAATTACTGCCAAAGAGGATTTTAACCATAATCCTCTTGAGTGTTCGATACAAAGCATAGAAGCAATTCAGTTACCGGCTATCTTCTTGTTTAATCATTAAGCTACGACAAATGTGACACATCGTTTTATGTTTTGACGATGCTTTCATACGATTGACAAAATATGCGCTCCCAAAAACGATTACAATTTTATGTTTCATTTCAATCCAAATTTGAAGTATTTTCACAATAAACAAAGTACACAATTTATATTTCAATGATAACAATGATGAAATTATCATCACTTTAAGAAATATTTACTTACGATATATACGTTATTTAGAAATGCTGTTCATTCTAGTTTAGTGATATAAAGTTGTCACTCAATAAATGCGGTTCAATCGGGATTATCGTCTCTACGTGTTTGGCCTATTGCCACTTCTTAAATCCGATCTTTAAAGCTATTTTTATAACTCTCGTCCTTGTGTCGAATCGAATATATCGAATTGGAGAGATGTGAACATTGTAAAAAAATCTTTGAAAATTTTCGTCGAAAATACTGTCCTAATTTTTATATTTTATGTATAAATTGAACATTTAAGTAGTTTGAATAATAATAAGCAACATTCAAATGATCAGCATTATTGTCTAAAATAGTATAAACCTATCTACATTCCCGCCAATTTCATGGCCGCCATATTGTGGCGTGTGGCCGCGCAGGATGTCCGCTGGCTGTCACAGTTGACAGCACGCATTTTCGCCCCAGTTTTGCGCCGAGCTTCTATTGTTTGGTCGCTGACAGGCGAGTGATACGGGTCCAATGGCCCTTGGAAGCGATCGCTTTGATCGACAGAATCGCTTCAATGGAACACGCGTCCATTTACGATTGTACCCTTCCGAAACGTCAAGATATCGTTATTTGCGTGTCAAATACTTTTGTTTTATCAAAAAGAAAAATAAATATTATTGTATAAATTGGTCTGTAAATTCACGAGTTTGCCAGGTAAAGCAAACTCTCTTATTTCACAAAACAGCTGAATTCTCTACGGTACTGTACAATAGTTCTGACTAGAATTTAATGGCACTTTGGGGTGCGATGTAAAGCGTATAACTTGGAATTTAAAATTTTATTTTTTCACAAAACATTTATATTTTTAAACGTTTTACTTCAATCTTCCCGTAATTGTTTCGTTTGTAAGTGTATTCGTTGAAGTGGTCATTTATAGCATGGAGTAATTGTTTTACTGTGAACTTACTTAAAGGTACTATGTTTATAAAGGCACTAGCTGTCGCCCGCGACTACGTCCGTGCGGAAATTAAATGAAACATAATAAGTGGCCTATGTGTTATTCCAGGTTTTATATGTATGCCAAATTTCATCGAGATCTGTTCAGCCGTTCTAGAGATACCTTCAAACAAACATTCATCCATCTAAAAACATTCTCATCTATCTATATATCTATATCTTCTTTTTATATATAAAAGAAAGTCGTGTTAGTTACACTATTTATAACTCAAGAACGGCTTTACCGATGGCTGAAAATTGGTGAGGAGGTAGCTTAGAGCCAGGAGACGGATATAGGATACTATTTATCCTTTTTTTTTCGAATTTATGCCTTGAAGAGCTGCTTTTTATTTAACTTACGAAAATTATAAATGCGAATGTTTAGATGTATGTGATGTGGATGGATGGATGGGTGGGCTACACTAATTAAGTTTTTTTTTATATATCCACGCGGACGGAGTCGCAGGCGACAGCTAGTTTATAATATTAGTATGATCATTTAGTTTAAAACATTCGAGTAGAAACATTTATAAACGTAACACCTTTTACTCTTTGTGATCTTAAATTCATGTTGAGACAGCTGTCAACGAAGTTTTCTTACTCTCGATAACAGAAAATGTTCAAGTTGGAAAGTTTTACAGAGTCGAAGAGTCTTATTACAAAATACAATTTATTTTCTTTGAGACACTCGTAAATATAATGATAAA